CAGAGCAGTGAAAGGATTTTCTATATTTATTGTGTGTGCTTTTCTGTCCCCAGGTTGTATTTGCTTCTGCTCTAAATTTCCACATTTTTGTTTGTCTTAAATCTATTCTTTTAATACTCATTTAACATATTGAACCTAATAATGGAGGCACCTGGATCTATACTTGAGTAAAGACATGGAATGGAGCTCATAGCTGAAATTTAATTTTATTCCAATCATTTTACAGACAAAGCAGCAAAACTTCCAAGTAAATATAAAAGCTGGCAAACGTACCTACTTAAAACATGCACTTGTATCTGTCATGCCAAGAGATGCTTTTCCTTTTAGAATTAAATTTTTAATTAACTATCATGTGTTATATAAAAATAGCGATTAAAAAATGACATGGAAGCCCCCTTTCTACTTCGACTCTGTTATTTTGATACTTATGTAAACTTTATTCTTAGTTTTGAATACTTAACAATTTACAATTCTGTTTGAACTTGGAGAGATATTTTTATAAGTCCATTTAATTTTGGCTAAGTACATACTATATTTTATCAAGTTTTCCTAATCAAATTTTATTTTAAAATGAAATGAACTGATGATTTATTCTCTATGACGTATCATGCTTAGGCAGAGAATGCACTGTGGCGTAGTGTTTCTACAGAAACAGTATCTATCATAGATTCACAAGGACTGATGATCACAAGTGATAGAAGGCAACAATGTCTTAATTGTTTCGAAGTACACATTGTTTTTCTTCCTAAGGTGATTTCAGTAACTGTTTTAAGGAATATCTTTTCATAATCTTGCAGACTTTTTCAAGTCTGATTAAATAGATTAAATCTGCCCACTTCTAGTCATTGATGGTTGGGGTGTGTGTGTGTGTGTGTGTGTGTGTGTGTGTGTGTGTGTGTGTGTTAAAGCGTTGTACATAATGAGGAGACTTAATGTGTTTTTACAGCTTTATTACTTTTCTAAATTTAGTTTTCTGCATTTTTAACTTTTAAGCTATTTTACTGGATTAATTTAAATTTAGATTGTTAAAATAAATTCAGGTTGTTAATTTATAAATACAGGAATTATGCAGGATTGTCCTTAATTGTATATATTCCCTCTTTTCTACTTGTTATAATTCTACTTCTTATTTCTAATTTTACTTATTTGGACATTGTCTTGATTATATTTTTTCAGAAGTTTATTTTATGTCTAATCTTGAAAATATATGCCATATTTTAAAGGAGACAGTGTGAATGGTGAAAAAAAGAAATATTGTTCCATATAATTTTGTGATTTTGACATCTGAAACTATTAAATGTAAAATTTCCTTTGAGTTATAACTGTAACTATTTCAAATATTAATGTATGCTGAATTCTTTCTTTTCTTTGAAAGGATTCTATCAAATTTGATACACTTTGATATGTTGTTTACTGAGTTTTTTACTTTTGCCATCAGTGAACACAGTCGCTCTTTCTAATATATAAAATCACAGCACAGCAGTTTGGGACATCAAAAGAAATCTACCGTAGTTAAATGAAGCCACATAGGGGTTTAGGTAGACTGCATTCCATTACCCAAGATGGAATTTTGCCAGCCTGGCAACCCTAATGCCTGTAATCCTGAAAATTCTCTGTGATCTGGAATTGACTCAATTGGCTGTTTCAAGTTTTCCCTCTTTAAACTTGCTTATTCAGTTCTAAGGTGCCATATTATGATGTTCAAAATTATTCAGAATTAAAATACTTTTTGTTCTCACAAACTATTTGCTACAAAAATCCAAAGCAAATAATGGAGGAATGAGGTATTATTTTTCAGTTTCTAAAGCAGTTCTTCAGGTGAAAATACACCTTGGTGGTTTGAGTCATATTTACCACAAGCTAACAGGACATTTTAGAATATATAAACTTTTTTTTTATTTTCAAGACAGTCTTGCTCTGTCACCCAGGCTGGAGTGCGGTAGTGCAATCTTGGCTCACTGCAACCTCCACCTCCCAGGTTCAAGCAATTCTTCTGCTTCAGCCTCCTGAGTAGCTGGGATTACAGGCGCCTTATACCATGTCTGTTAATTTTTGTATTTTTAGTAGAGACAGGGTTTCACCATGTTGGCAAGGCTGGTCTCTAAGTCCTAACCTCGTGATCTGCACACCTCAGCCTCCCAAAGTACTGGAATTACAGGCATTAGCCACCATGCCCGGCCTATATAACCTAATGTTTTTAAGTGCATGAATACTTTCAAATACTTTCAGAGCAGTAATGTAAATGATATTGATGCGGTTACAGTACAAACACTGTGACTCAGTAGATCACAAAGTGCTGTGGTGGCATTTTCTTCCTGCACGGCTCATGATAGCAAATAGATATGCAGTTATTTTATTTTGGAGTAGAAATGGCTGCCAACTTAAACAAAAATCTGATTGCACTGTTGGAGAATTAAATATGCTGGGGGCTCTTATTAGAATAATAGCTAGAAAATATTAACGAATTACAATTTTGATATAAAGACATAAATAGGCTACTCTTGGTCCACTTTTAACAGATAAATCTAAGATACAGAGTACCATTTCCCTCTTATTGACAAGCAGAAGCAAGCAACTTCTCAATAGACAAGCACAGCCTTAAATGTTTATAACTGATATGAGAAAAGATGAATTATGGCAGAAGTAAGAGTGAGGTTACACAACAAGGAAATGATGACTAAATTTCCATTTTAATCAGGAAATTCCGAGTTGTTGTGTACCCTTGAATTTTTTATTTGTCCCCAGTTCTTTCTAGGTTCAATTCTTGTTTTAGTTAGCTAGTCAGTTTTATTCAAGCCTTTGCAAAGGGAATAATAGCAGCAGTGATATAATGCAGAGGATTTCAAACTCTCATTCAAGCAAAAGAAACCTTTTTTCTCCCCTAAATGCAGCTTATTTAAAATGTGATATAAGCCACAGTGAAATAAGAACCCGAGTCATCCTCTGCTTTGCCTTCCTTCCCTCTCCTTTCAGCAGCCTTTTATGAACCCCGGAAAGGGAATCAGTTGTCCCTAGTTATCAGGAAAACACTGTATTTTGGTTTATTTTAAAGCAGAATCCTTTCTTGCCGCTAATTGCAGTAGTTAAATATAGTTTTGAAAAGATTTACACATTATCCTTTATTCACATAGATGATGTGTTGGGAGAGGGTCATACTTTGTAAAATATAGTGTGGCACTGTAGCTAAATGGATATAGCACATTTTATATGGAATTTATTTACACCATACCAATTGGCTCTTTGGAAATGTCTGCCTTAGAGTGAATATGAACAGAGAATTTAAATGCCATTTTAGTCTGCACTTCACCTGTACCATTAGAGATTCCTAGTTATGACAGATAGAAGCACCTTACTAGGTCACATTGATTGACAGTTGGAGACATAACTACTTAGAACTGTGTCGTCCATATATTCCTCTCTAATGCATAGTATGATGATAACCCACTTAAAACCATCTTATTCCATGTAACCACTGGAAGTGAGCTTCAGTATGCATTCTACTTTTCGTGATTTAAATGAATTGTATATACCATCATTAAAGAGCACATTTTAATTTTTAGACAGTGAAACATGTTGCTATGATAACGTGTTGCTGAAATAAATTTGCAGTAAAAAAATCAAAATCAGAATTAATAAATAAAATTGCATCAAGGTTTCAAACTCTAAAATGACATTTTCATTTAGAGTTGTGATGCAGTCTTGGGGTTTGGTATTATCTCATGCATGCTTTCTATTTAGAAATATGGAATAGGAGACAAATTTAATAAACCAATGACCCTAGAATCAAATCCTTTGATGAATGGCATTTGAAATTTATTACATGCTCCTTCTATTTCTTGATCCATATCCACTTCTCTCCTGCCATTTTTAGAGTAATTTCCCCATTTATAGAGCAAATAGAACAGATTTGATTTGGCTTTCTCCTATGTTAAGCGATTTTATTTCAAGACTGATGAGATGTCACTAATCATCAGAGAAATGCAAATCAATACAACAATGAGGTACTGTCTTACACCTGTCAGAATGGCCATTATTAAAATGTAAAAAAAAATAAATAAAAATAAAAAAAACAGATGCTGGTGAGGCTGTGGAGAAAAGAGAATGCTTATATACTGTTGATGGGAATGCAAATTAGCTCAGCTACTGTGGAAAGCAGTTTGGAGATTTCTCAAAGAACTAAGAGTTGAACTACCATTTGACTCAGCCATTCCATTACTGGATACATACCCCAAAGAAACAAATGATTCTACCCACAAGACATAGGCATTCGTATATTTATTATATCACTAGTCAAAGTACCAAAGGCGTGAAATCAGGGTACCTAGGTACCCATCAGCAGTGGACTGGATTAAGAAATTGTAGTACATATACACTATGGAATAGTATGCAGTCATAAAAAAGGACAAAATCGTGTCCTTTGCAACAACATGGATTCAGCTGGAAGCCATTAGCCTAAGCCAATTAATGCAGAAACAGAAAACAAAATACCACGTTTTAACTTATAAGTGAGAGCTAAACATTGGGTACTCAAGGACATGAATGTGGCAACATTAGAAACTGGGGGCTACTAGAGGGGGATTGGAGGCAAGAGCTGAAAAGTAATTACTGAGTCCTATACTCATTACCAAGGTGAGAGAATCATTGATACCCAAACCTCAGCATCACACGGTATAGCCAGTCAATAAGCCTGTACGCGTGCCCCCTGAATTTAAAGTGAAAGTTTTAAGAAAAATTGTTTTCTTCCCTTGCATGTTGAGAAAGAACTCCTGTCTGCCTTACATTTAGAAAAGACTGTAAACCCCTAGTGGAAATAAAGGCTTCTGTGTATTAATCATCTCAAATATCTAATAAAATGAGACATATATAAACACTAAAGACAGATAAGTTTCTGACAATTTATTCTTAGCTTGAATGGTTTCATTAATTATATATCCAATATTCAAAGGAAGATATGATAATCTGGGAAAACAACATGATACTTCTTTTAAAAACTCATCTCAATACTTAACCTGGCAGGGGAGATACTGTGATCACAAAGGTGGTTTTCCCAGGGTCAGGCTTATCCATTGCACCCCAAACGTGCTGACCCTGTGGTTTCCCCGAATGTGGGGAACTCGACTGCATACTTTGTGGTAGTGGAGGACTGCGTTCATGCTAAAAAAAAAAAAAAAAAAATTCATCTAAATGTTTGGTCCAATGAAAAACATGTCATCAGCTTCATTGAGACTAACCTAATTCTTATAATAATGATATAGACTATAGTGTACCACCTTCTCTAGTCTGGTAATTTTAATTGAAATGGAAATTCTGTGGTAGTATACTCATTTTCTTTACAGTAGATTTTAATCTGTGTGTGCTGTAATTTTTTTTCTTACTCTATGAGGAGAAATGTGTGTGTATTTGGACATGATATGGTTTACACACACTCCTTCAAATAAGTAGTTGGAAGTTTGAAAAATTTCCATGTAACACTAAATCCATTATTGGATGGATATTGGTAATACTGATGTTTTATGAAAAGGATTTTGGCTTATATTAGTATGTTTGATATGTACTTCATGTGGAAAATACTTATTTTTCTTAAATTTGAATTACATTTAGTTACACAATATCATTAGAAATTTAGGTAAGCTTATTAAACATTTTAATGTAGAATATTTGTTGTTTTCTTATAATTTAAGTTTCAAAAGAAAGGCAGGTTCAAAGAATACAGAGACATTATTTATTTTTTACATGAAGGAGATTTCTTGGAGTTTCCTCTTTGTTTATGGAGTTGCCAAGTTTTCCTTTTCTAAAAATTGATCAAGATCTATCTTATGTAAGTTACATTTGGAAGATTAGAAATATGAGAATCTGTTTAGTCCTTTTGGTTGGTTTGGTTTTTGCTTTGCCATTCAATAAATTGAGAACTCACCACGTTTCAGGGCCTAATTTTGTCCAAATAAGTGTATTAAATCCGCTGCTAGAGAGACCAGCGGATGTGAACGCTTGATTGAGCCTGTGGGGAACAGCTCCCTGCTGAGCTTTTATAGAAGAACAACTGTTTTAAGAAGAATGGAAAGTAGAACAGACACAAAGTTAAAAGACAAATGTGCAGACTCTTGCTTTTAATGGTATTCAAGGGTTTAGCAAGCCATTAACTTGAGTGCTGTGGAATTGCTGAAAGTAAGAATTAAAAATAAAAACGTGTGGTTATCTAGGGACTAAGTTGCTGAGAGATCCAGAAAGACAGTTTGCTATTGGAAGGGACCTCCAAGCCTGGAAGATCAGAGTCAAGTGAAAAGAAATATGGAAATGGTAATTTATTCCCTTTGTAAAATCAGTGGCAAACAATGAGAATAAGTAGGTTGATAAATCATTGGTGTTTAAATGTTTAAGAGGACACATTGTCAATCTTTATAGCCATCTCAAATTTTCTTTTATTTAATAAAGAAGATTGTCTTCATAGAAATAAACTATCAGCAGTTATTAAAAGTGAAAAATTGTCAACATTATTGGAGATTTGATTATCAATCACAGGGGGAAATGCCCCATGAAATACCACGTATTATCCCGCAAAGTACCTATTTCTGATACACTCTACGTCATGAAGGATGACCAAGCTTGGTGTCTAATTCATCAGTACCTTCTATTTCTTATCTTATCTTTCATTCTCCATTTCTCCCTTGTAAATTTTCAAGCAGCATGGAGAGCCAGAAATCTTATTCTTTTGAAAATGAGATCTAATTCTAATGCTAGGGTTGTGATCAAATTTTCTACTTATTACATATGCCCTTAGTATTTTTCATTTTAAAAACATAGAAAGAGATCTGGTTTTTCTTTAATGAAAATTAAATTTAAGTCTGCTATTCATAAAGTACAGGAAGAAATCATATCTAGGTTTGATTAGTAAGTGATGAAGGTGACTTATTATAAATCTTTGCTTGCAATTCTTCTTCGTGTAAAAAAAATTGACTTGAAGTCAAGTTATCAGCAAGAATTCAATGCTCCTTACTGTTGTACTGATTTGAAGTTGAGTCCTGGATTGAAGCCACTGATGAAAAAGCTGTTGTCCATGGTTCATGATGGAAGGGTGGACTGCAGACAACATGGAAACTTGTATCCAGTTATGAAGGTGAATGTGAAGTCATAGGACCGAAATGAAGAAAATAGACTTAATTCCTGCTAGGTGTCCGATACATTTATAAACACTAACCCACTTAATCCAAATTAAATGCTTATCAAACACTAAGAGCACAATATCACCTGTGACTCATACAACCTAAAACATACTACTATCATAGTAGTTATGTGAGGTTGAGCAAAATACTTATTCTTATGTTCCTATTTCCTCCTTTGTGAAATAGTAACCGTAAGGTTTATATGTGTTAAAGGAGTTAATATTTGTAGGGCTTTTAGAAGAATGCCAAACTAATAAGTGATAAGCAAGTGTCTCTTACTATTATAAATAGAGGATACAGATCTAATATCACAAAGCACTGCCTCATATCTTATTACTTTAAAAAGATGCTTGCACTGCATGGTATCTCCACTCAGCAGTGTTTTCCTGCTGGGGTGTTCATAGGTCAGTGCTATAGAAATTCAGTATCTGGCATCATTGGTTTTCTTGGCTTTGTGCTTGTTTAACCTGGTATTTCTATTGATACAATATTTGAAAAAAAAGATGCTATCCAAGCATATTTTTGAAAGCAAATGTAGTTAATTTAGGACTAATGAGAATCAATAAAATATTTATTTTGAGTAAGATGATATTCGTAAAACTGTTTTCAGCATTACAAATTAATGTATTTGTGATTAACCTGATTATCAGTTACAGCAAGGCATCATATTGATGAAACACTGAAACAACTGACTTTCCAGTTGCATTCTTAGATGGTATTTAGTTTGTTGCATGGTATGCCGAGTTTCAGGATATTCAGATACCTGAAGGGCGAGGGAGCTGGGCAGCTTTGCCATAGCATTGTTTTCCAGATATTCTGACTTTGTGCAGATAAAACCCAGGAACTCACGTTAGTAAATATTTGTAAAGATTGAATGAATATCAATGGAGTAGAACATGAAATTTAAAAAAAAACTATATGAGAAGAGGTTGTAGGTGAATTTCAGAAAGTCTTAAGGCAATAATGCTGGTTAATTTAAACATTAACATATATCGAGGAGTATACCATGGAATAGGCCCAAATAATAAAGCCATATTTATATATCCAGTGGAACAGTCGCCATTTTATAAGTAGTTTCAATTCTGTAAGAAATGTGATATGTTCTACAATGAAATCTTCTTGAATAATGAATATTTAATTTCTGTTTTGTTAAACTCCCTTATATCATTCAAAATATTTATTTTCATACATCAGGATTATGTCTTTTTATTTGAAGGCAATTCTTATGTTTTGAGACCTATGCATTATTTCTAAAATGGGACAAGAATGACAACTTCAATTTACTTGGAATATCTTCTACTTTTGATGCTGAATAACTGCTGACATGTGATTTTATAAATAGACTGTTTTAAATATGTAAATGTATGGCTTCGTTGTAGATGGTAATGGAATCTTACTGTTTTATAAGCAACTTCTTTTACCATTTATAATGGAATAGTAAGTAAGCAAAGACTTGTTAAATTTCTTCAGTATATCTGATATTTAGCACACTTGAACATTTATAACTTTCTCCTTTAATTATTCTGTAATATTTTACAGATATAGCTTAAGTTTTTAACTACACATAATTATTTTAATAGCAATAATGTATGAATTGGTATTTTTCTTAGCTGTATAGTAGAATAAAAAAGAGATGGTTTAAGACCTTTAAAGAAAAATTTTATCTAGAGTTAATATTCATTTACTTGTACACAAGTAATTACATTTATTAAAATTTTAATTTCAAGCAGTATTGCCTAGATAAGATTAAGTAAACATCTCCTTTTAGTATCTGTTTGTATACTACACATTATTTGCCTTTACTCTTCATGCAATCTGCATTCAATCATAATTACTTTTTTACATTTAATGCTCACCCATATTGTAATAATACTGCATGTAATCTAAAGTCATATGTCGAACTACTGGAAGATGTAAACTTTTTATTTTACACATAAACTGTGCATGCATTTAAATTAACGGAGTTTCAATTTGACGAGGACTGTGTCTTCCATAAAACATTTAAATTAATGTCCCTTGGGATAAACAAGCTTCAGCTACCTTGAAGCAGGTAGCTGAACTAGATAAAAGTTTACATATAATTTGCCAAGTCTAATTAACATTTTTTGTGAATATACAGATAATTATTGATGTATAATTACTGACATTCGACTTTAAAATTGCTAAAGTGGTTTCTTATACATGGAGTTGACTGACACTTGGTGCTGAGCCCAAGCAAACATGATTCATGTTTATAAATGACATGGGCTTAACGTTTGAACGTTTTAAATGTTCAACATGTATAAGGAAAGGAATTGTATATTTAAAATTTTCTTCTCGAATCTTCATGTTGCTTCTGACACTGACATCATTATTATATAGTCAGGCAGTCTTCAATCCCACATATATGTGAGGAAAGAAAGAAAAATAAAGCGTGATAAAAAGAGATTCAGAGAGGGGAAGGACCTCTAATAATAATAATAATGAATGTTGAGTATCTCCTCTAGTGATAATAGTAATATAGGGGAAACACAAATACAAAAACTAAAAGAACAGACTAGAGGTTAAGTTCCCTGAAGCTGCTCATGCAGATCAGTTCATACTAATTGAATTTTTCATCCAATACTGATTTTACTTTTATTATCAAGTTATAACTTCAGAACATCTTTAAAGTAGATATCTTAATTTTGCTACTTTTAAAAATGTGATTGTTATACAGCAATCGTTGCAACAATTTTAAACGTGGTAGTCTAAATAAAATGTTAGAGTAATTTATCACATTTATCATATGTCTCTAGTTATCATATTATCATAATTTTGCTTTTGTACTGTTAAATCTATAAAGTATGAGTAGTTTAAGTCAGCTGACCTAAGAATTTAATCTTCTCTAAGATAAGCAATAGTAGCTTTCAGTTGAGTAATGTGTTTTTGTTGTCACTTTCACATAATTTTGAATATAAATGGAAAAAGCCATTTGTAATATATCTGTAGTTGGGCCATTTTTAAATGAAAAAGGTAAA